TTCAATGGGCACAAGGTAACCTACGGAATTGTGAGGCTCTAAATAATCGTTTTTGACAAGTTACTTGTTGTGTCTGTTGCAGAGAAAGCATGCGCTGAAATATCAGTCCGTGATTGCTCCCGACGGTATTATGATTCACCTAAGTGGTCCCTTTCCGGAAACACGTCACGATGCCTATATTCTGCAGCAAAGTGGGCTTCTTGAGGCAGCGTCTTCATGCCTTGATGCTGATGGTCATCATTACGTATTCTATGGAGACCCTGCCTATGGCCAGCAACGACATATTGTTGCCCCACTTAAGGGAGCCAAGCTAACAGAAGACGAGCAACTATTCAACAGGCGAATAAGCAAAGTACGCGTTAGTGTGGAGTGGGGGTTTGGAAAAATTGTTCGCTATTGGGCGTTTGTAGATTTCTCGAAAAACCAAAAGGCGTTTCTACAGCGCCTTGGCAAGATGTACGTGATGGGCGCGTTTCTAACAAACTTACACACGTGCATCTACAGTAGTCAAACGTCTGCCTTTTTTGGTTTGAAACCACCAACACTGGCAGAATATCTAAACAATGCATAGGCGACTTTATTGATTCATCTTCTCTATCAACTTGGACATGAGCCCCATCTGGCTAGCCATCATTCCCATCAATTTGTCTAACTTGTCTCGGTCCTGCTGCAGACGCTGCTCTTCTAGCGCAAGCCGGCGCTCTTGCAGGTCAAGCTGTTGTTCTTTTTGCTTCTCTCGAGAGATCCGTGCTTCTGCCTTATTGTCGACAAACACGACAAGAGCCTCCGTGCTTGACTTTTTCTTCTTTTTGTTCGGCGGTGGGGTCGATAGCTCATTTTCAGAGCTTCCTGAACGGAACCGTCGTTAGCCCTTCATTGCGCTCTGAACTACTTCTGCCGAAGCCGACTCACGACGTTCAGCGTCTCTTTTCTCCTTTTCTGTCTTGTCAGCCTTGACTTGTGCGTGCTCATTATACTGTAGATAAAAAGCATAAGCAAAACTTACGTCACTAGTATCAATTAAAACTTACCAGAGTCATGCAGTCTGTCAGTAGTTGCTCACGCTCCTCGTAGTCTTCGGCAGAGCCCGACGCTCTCAACGACTCGAGCTCGTCGCGGCAAAATACCTCCAGGAGCGTATTGAAGCGGCGACGGCAAGCCTTGCCGTCGGCGGTACACGATGTGAGCGCTGCCTTGAGTCCTGTGGCGACGCTTGACCACGCGGCCAGCGTCTCACCATGACTAGCCACCCAGGATCTGTGCTTGAGGGTTTCTTTGAGCAGCATGATGTCACTCGATGGTACGAAACGGAAGGCCTTCTTGCGCTTACTAATGCTGGGACTTCTGACTGGGTTGGGGGGGGGGCTCTTCAGTGTTGCAGTCTGCATTAGCCATGTCAGCGCTAAGTAGCCTTGGCCACTCGGTTCTTTGTAATCTGTGGTCACCGTGAGCAGAAAGCTAACGTACATTTCTCTCAGCAAAAAACACAATGACTAGCCTGCCCTATCCCCATTCGCCTTCAGTGTACATTTTCACTGTTTTGAGACAGCTGCACAAGGTCTCTATTAATGCTTTTTGTTTTAACTTAATGAGTATCATGCATTCCGTTCTATGGGTACCCGAGTCATTATAAGGTTTACGACCTAATCGAAATATATTTTTTTGTGGTTTCTACTCGAAAAATTGCTTTAGGCACTGCATAACGCATTACGCCAGGGCAGGAGTAAATAATAAAGCGGCTTGTGCTACAGTAGAAGTGGTGTCCTTAATGTCCTCCAGCAACTAGAATTCATGCATTGTTGTTTACGCTAAAAGTTGTCACCTTCGACACGCACATCATCTAAAAGGTAGCTCAGCACTGATAGAAGTGCTCGTAGCCGAAGCGCGGGAGCGGCTCAGCAACTGTGATGCGGTTGTGCAGAGGCTGGATCAGACATTTCTTGTCGTCCGGGAGCTGCGCAATGTAATTTTTGTGCTCAATATTTGTACGACCTATCTAGCCAGCATTGAGATCCAAGTCAACCCTCGAACCCAAGCCAGCCTTCGAATTTAAGCCAGCACTAGGATTCGATCCAGGCGTCTTCGCTCCTGGCGTCTCAGACAACGCCTGTATTGGCCCAGTCAAACAAACTGGGGACACCTGCGGCTACTGTGGCTTGGGTTGTTGACTTGACGATGGGAAATGTTGTTGTGTCAGGCGTGGATGCGTTTGGCATTCCAGTATCGGTTCATCACTACCGACAACAAGGAAGCCGCCACGACGTCTGCGACGTTCTGCACGTGTTGGCGACGCCGTTCAAGATTAAAGACGGAGTGGGCGCTACCTACGTATGTATTTTGCGCTCAATAATTTATCTGTAGCCCCTACGCTGCACCCATGAAGTGGGAAAGCGCCCTTCACCGCTTTCGTCATACCACTAACGCCAAGGATCATTTGTACGCACTTCAACGTAGCCACCCGATCGGTCAAGCGGAGGCGTCGAAGCGGTTGAAGAATGCGACCACCCGCCTTGATGATGTCAATGTCGACACACGGGTGTGAGACGGCAAACGATCCGCTCCAGAAGGATGTGAGGGACGGCCAATGAAGTAGCGCGGCTCGTTTCAGAAGCTCTGGGAAACGACGCAAAAGGAGACCATCGTGTATATTGCCCGTTGGATAGTCACAGCTGGGTTGTCCTACAATACGATAGCGACCGATGACTTCAAGCAGATATCCAGCGTCTTACGGGTGATACGGAGGCGACGATCTTGTCCGCTGCGACGTTGCGGGAGCTGATAGATGCTATATTTGACAAATTCGGCAACATCACGGCTCGTTTGCAGGTTCAAGAATTTGCTGCTGCACATCATTATCCATGTCTCAATCTCCACCATGACACGTAGAGCACGTCTAATGGCAAGACGTGAGTACTGGAAACGTCGGTGAGCTGGATTGATGAGCGTTGGATTTGTAGGGAGATCGCCTTACTTGTCACGGTCGCCAGCGGGTCGCACGCGTCTGCGG